TAACATAGTTATGTATAATATATTACATTTCTGACTGTATATCCCTGTAATTATTACACACTGTAGCTTTAAAGCCTTTAAAACATTTGAAATTGCAAATCAATTTTCATTTTCCTCTGTCTTTACTATATAATTTTAAAAAGCAGATGTTACTCAACACTTAACCCCTTGAACCCTACGGACCCACCGGCGGGTCCAGCTGCTACATGACCTTGTAGTTTTACCAAACCCCCAGTTTTGATGTAAAAAACATATTTGGCACAGTTTGGTGACATTTATGGATAAATGTGCCAAAATGGCCTCTCCGCCTAAGAAATTTCTCACTAATACCATTCTAAAATAAATATGATTCATCTGATTGAGTCCACATTTTGTATATTTTTACACAACATTTAGATTTGAAAGTCTGTACTACTTTTTTGTGCTATAAATAATATTTTGGTAGTGTTTTGCAATGTTTATTTCAAAGAAAATTTTGGCGAGGTTCAAAAATTGCAAAATATTTTGTATTTTGTCCCTAATATTTCAGGCAGGGTCAAAGCTACAATGGTGCTGACACCAGAAAACCATTCTATGACATCTTACCTTTACAGACGTACCAAAAGTTTCTTCTTAAATCTAATAGCTTTGAGGCTATAAGTTATTTACTTTTGTGTGTTTTTGTCAGGCAGAAATTTATTTATATCCCCTTAGGGTGTAAGAGGTTAAGTACTCTTTTTACCAATTACATTTTTATTTAAGTCATTTCATGGATGACTACTTTTTAAAAGTTACTTGGGTAAAAATATGATTTGGAAGTGTCAGTCTTACTTGAGTACAATTCCTGGGAACTCTACCCTCCTTTGCATAAGTATTGTAATGTAGTGTGTAAATCATATTTTACAAAAAAAAAAAAGAAGTGCTCTTAGTTATTGACAGTCGCAGTCCATAGTTTCTGTTGACAATTATTGTTGTTGGAGGTATTAGGGGAAGTGTGCTACACAAAGTTATGTAAGTCGACAGCCATTGTTAATGCCCAGGTGGCTTCCAGAGTGAATGTGACATATTTTTAAAGCTTTTTTTCTACTTAAACCTCTTTCAGAAAGTGTTTACAAAAGGAAGGGAAATTCAGTTCAACTCTTTGAGCCTTTCGTCTCTGGTTGACAGTTGACATCATACACGTCACTGTGTTTCACTGTTCTGAAGCATTTTGGAATCAGAGCTAATCTATTGGCTTGTGGCAGGATGTATTTTCGCGAGTTTGTGAATTCACAAATGTCGCAACACCCCGTCTACTTTTAAGACTAGGCTTAAAACTTTACTTTTTGATAAAGCTTATAGTTAGAGTGGCTCAGGTTATCCTGAGCTATCTCTATAGTTATGCTGCTATAGGCTTAGACTTCTGGAGAACACAGCGACCCCCATTTCATCATTCTGCTTCATTTTATCTCTATTCTCCCACTCTGCAGAATCTGTTAGTTCTCTAACGTTAAGCTCTCTCTGCTTTTTCTCATAGAAGCTTTGCCTCGTCTGTTCCTGTTTAGCTGTGACACCATCCTGGAGAGAAATATCAGCTGTTGTGCTGCCATCAACACCTTAGTTTATAGATGCTAGAGATGGGCCTGTTTTCCAGTGTAGTCCTGTTTCTCTGACCGTGACTGGCTGGATGTGCTCTCTTCATCCTCTGAAATGGGAATTGGCTCGGAGCTCGTCTTCGTGTTTCCTGGACGGGGCCGCCTTTTATAGCTGCTTTTTGTATCTCTGCTTCTGTCTCCTTGAACCCCAGTCAGCCTCAGCAGATGGCCGCTCACACTGAGCCTGGTTCTGCTGGAGGATTCTTCCTGTTAAAAGGGAGTTTTTCCTCTCCACTGTCACTACAAGGATGCTTAGTGTGAGGGATTGAATTTGAGTCAATGAATTGATGCAATCAACTGGTTTTCCTTAGATAGAAAACTTTGAATCAATTTGACTGTATGATCTGTTAGAACTGTAAAGTGCCTTGAGATGACATGTTGTTAATTGGCACTATATAAATAAACTGAATTGAATTTAATTGAATTCATCTTGCTTCCAATGTAAACACACTCCTATATAAAAGAACCAAAAATATGCCTGATATGGTAAGTCTCACATCTGTTTTGTGGCTTAACAACAATTTTTTTAGCTTAGGCTGCCACAAAACTAGGTCACATGACCCAGTCAAAACATATCCAACCCTCTGAAGGTATATAGATGGATAATTTGAGAAGAGCAGCTGCATAAGGCATCAGTACACACCAAATGTTGTAGATTGAACTGAAAGATAATTTAATATTTTTGAAATTAGGCTAAAGCATATGTTATGCAGTGTGGTTTTATTTATTTTTTTGGCTTTTTGTAAAAACAAGTGTATTCAACTCCAGAAGAACTACTTTAAAAAAGTCTTAATACATGACAGTTTGTGATGTTAAGGTGAAAAAGAAAAGTTAAACAGTTATAGTAGCATCCATTCAAAATTGCCCTTCCCAATCAAACGCCAGCTGAATGGCAGTTTATTTGGCAGACTGCCCACTTTCCTTCAACACCAAGCAAAATCCCCTCCAACCTCCAGCCACTGGAGTGTCCTACTATTGTATATATTTTTTTACTCAGACTCCACCCTTTCACTTAAGTACAGGGTCTGACCAGGAGATGGCGCTTCTCTTTAGATCTTAATGTCCACAAATCCATCCATTATCTGACACGCTTGTCCCAATTGGGGTCACAAGGGGTGCTGGTGCCTCTCTCCAGCTGTCTACGGGCGAGAGGCTGGGTACACCCTGGACAGGCCGCCAGTCCATCGCAGGGCAACACAAAGACAAACAGGACATACAACCATTCACGCACACACTCACACCTAAGGAGAATCTAGAGAAACCAATGAACCTGTCATGTTTTTTTGGACTGTGGGAGGAAGCCGGAGTACCCAGAGAGAACCCACGCATGCTCAGGGAGAATATGCAAACTCCATGCAGAAAGATTTTTAGGGGACCAGCCAAGGGCCCATCAAGAAAAGTGGGGAAATTTTAAATGGCTACTACTGTAAGAGGAAATGCTTATCAAGACACTCTTCTCAGAGGTGTTGTTTTCTGCTTTATAATTTGCTAAAATCTTACAGAAACATGTCTACAGGATAAATAGTTAGTGATTATATTCTGTTTTAACAAGAAATATGATACCTATTTAAGACACTTGATCCACTTAACTTTAAAATAAAAGACTAAGAAAAAGTTCAATCTGCATTGTCCTTTTTCAGAAATTATGTGAGACCAGAAAATGTATTTGGTAAGCTTGATTTAAGTCCAGATTTTGGAACAACAGTAGTATGCACCTCTAAATACTGTAATATTAAGCAAACTTTGTAACATGTTTTTCATTTTCCACATAGCATGTGCTTGGATTACCCTTTTAACTCCTTGAAGTAATGCAGTTTTTGATCAGATATGTCTGTTCCTTTCTTAAATAATCTCTTTCATAGCATTTACATATCAGTTAATCATTTATTTGACAATTGTAATCTGTTATTTGTAATCACATAGCCAAAAATAACACATTTTATGAAACATTAAAGTTCAATGTATTTGACTGGTGCAATTTCTTCTTTTTTCCTTTGACACTGATGGCAGTCTCCTTGGTCAGTTAATCGCATGACACTGCAGTATGTCTGCCATTGTAGCTAAAGTAATTTTTTAGCCATCTCAATATCTGGAATCGGGTTTTCCAATAAAAAAATGACATTTGAGCCCCTTTTTTTTGGCTCTCTCTAATGGGGTCTGGAATAAAAATTGTGATATGTGTTGTTGTTGGCAGAGGCACAGGCTGTGTTTTTGTTTATAAATAGCTCCAGCCAGCATTATTCCACTTGCAGTTGTCCCATAATCATCAATCACTCTTGCACGTGGGCCGGCTTTCTCTACCAGAGAGAAGGTACACACTGCGAGTGGTGCCCTTGCACCTCTGACTGCTCAAGCAAGGAGCTGTGAGTGGGACAGAGCTTCGAGTCAGGAGAGGTTGTGTGTGCGTGTGTGTGTGGAGGGGGGTCTGATGATGGAGTGAGTTATGACAGCTTTTAGACCCCCTGCATCCTTTCCCTCAGGTCATTACGTGCTCCAACATCCTCTATTTGACTCCTTCAGCACATTACCACACACACACGAACATAATATCCCCCTCTGTTTATGCCTGATTAGAAGGCAGATGGGAGGGTAATTGTGTGATGTGCAGGGAAGGTGTGGGTTAGGTGTAACTGTTTGCTCAGGATTCATTCGTCTTTGTCTCTCTATCTGCCTCCATCTCTCATTGTAGAGAAGCTTTGCAAGAGCTCACAGATTTTAGGTCACTGCAGGGGGGTGATTCTGAAGAGATTTTGTAGTCCCCTATATACTGTATGGATAGACTCTGATTATCAGTGCATAGACACATGTCTTAAGTCTAAGTACAGTAGTTCTACATGTAAGACCTTCATAAATGCTTGTCAGTTATAATCATTTCTCAGGCTTTTTGCTCGTGGTCACTCACACACACAAACACTCACACACCAGCCAGTGTTACCATGGCAAGAATACAGTAAGAATCCAGATGATCCTCAACAAAATGGTTATATAACTATTGCGGCGCTAAGTCATGTAGCTTATCTAAGCCTGTGTCTTTATTTCTTTTCGGCCTTGGCTTTATTGCTCTCCAGCTGCACCTCAAACAAGATGCCCCTGAACACATTAAATGTTTGTAAGTGGCAGAATAGCAACTGTTTGTAGTTTGTGAAAGCATGTCAGCTTTGTACTAATCATTAAGATAATCCAAATGTAAACAAAAAAAAATCAGATGTCATCCTTTTCAAATCATAATCAAACTCCCCACACCATGAAAGAAATTTACATCTAATTAAATTCAACCCACCTAAACCCATTTTACTCTTCTTTCCTGCCAGTGTGTTTTATTCCCCATGTTTCCCTCTAGATCCCACCCAAAATGCTTGATACATATAAGCTGATATTGAGCCTCACCTCCCGGAGTTCCTTGGCCACATCCTTGAGCTCCTTGAGAATGCCTTCCAGCTGGTCAATCACCATCTTCATGTGACTGCGGATGCGTTCTCTCGGGCTGGGGGTCTCAGTGGTGTCCCGGGCCGGAGCTCTGCTGAGGGACATCCTTTACAAAGCAAAGTGGAGCCAATGGCCAACAGGCTGAGGGCGTAGGGGGGCCGATTCGGGGTCCATGTCTTTGGCTACAAGGAGCCTCAGTGCTACTGATCCGAACAGGGGCCCCGGCCACGCAGGGAGACCTCAACATCTTAAAAGCACCTGGGCAGCTGGAACGCCTTGCCTCGCCCGCACACTTGGCACAGGGTCACACTCTGACATCCATGCGTTTTGCCATACACTTCTCCAGATGAAGAGAAAGTCAACAAGGGTAAAGTTGAAAGGAGTAAATCCATTGAAAAGGGAGAAGAGAAACACATGTATTGAAGGTTGTATGAAACTCTTACATAACCAAGTTCATCCAACTCATCTTGCGTTAATGTGTATATTTGAAATTGTTCCCAGGGAGATGCTATTTCAAAAAAACACCTCTATACAAGAGAACACTTTTCTGTACAATTCTTTTCACCCTCAAAACCTGTCAGCATCACTGCCGATTGATATAGAAAAGTAAAAGCAGTGAATAAGTTCAAATCAATCCCCCTCAAAAGGAAGTTTTATGGACTGTAACCTAAATAGAAAAATACAAAAACCCCCACAGTGGCTCAGTTTGACCGGGATCTTTTTCTGTTCTATTGCTAGCCAAAGGGGACAGTATCTGTCTTCTAAATATAGTCCCTGTGTGAGGACTGCTGTCTATAAGAAGATAATTTTTTTTTTTAAATGAGGAATATTCCTCTTGCCCCCGAGGAAAACAATATTATAATTCTACTTAGAAATCAAAGTGAACTTTTGCCTCACATACATTGTCTTCATAGACAATGGTTTAAACTTTCAGTTTTGTCCATGAATTATCTGGGCTAAAGAAGAGGGTTGGCTATTTTTGCAGCATCCGATCTCTTAATTGTGGAGCTCATTCCAGGTGATGTGGATTTCTAAGCCAGCAGAATGTAACTTGTGATGATAATTCATGGAGGGATTACAAATGATCATCGGGTCGGTGAGACTTAAACGGAAGGGGGGGCAGAAAGAAAATTAGCACCAATCCCGGGAATCCGGGTGGCAGATCATCTTATGCAACATCGCTCTCCAAATCCTCTTCTAAAACACTGACCCACGGTAGTCACAGGGGTGTGCCGAAAAACCAAGGGTGCAGAAAAAAAAGGAATCTCTTGTCTTGTTCAGTTGTTGCTAAGGGAACCCAGTCTGTCTGCTTGTGCGGTGATTGGATAATTATTTTACTTCTTATCCGTGTAGTTAGTTTTCTCCACAATCTCTTCAGAGTGGCAGGGATCTCTGTGCCATCCAGCAACACAGAATAAATCCCATGAAAGCTTCCCAAATGAGATCCACGGAGTGAAAGGGGGGCAAAGATTCTCTCCAAATCCGGGGCGATACCACTGCCACGGGGTACGCTGGCCAGCTGCACATGACACCTGGATAGACAGAGAGGAAAGCGTTCACTTATTCTGATGAGCCTCACCTTTGTTTCTTGAGTCCTTTTGCACAACATTTTAAGCAGCATGATAGGAACGTTAAAAGTGGTTATAGATCCCGAAGTAAATGTAACTGCTTAAAGGATTTCTAGCAGCTTACAGGAAAATACAAACACACACACACATCCACACACCGAGAACGCATACCTACTCACCATCTCTGTACATCATTATATTGTTGCTATGGCTAGACCTCACTGTCCAGGCACAGCACGACTACTTAAGCTGCGCACAAAGCAGCCGGTTCCTCTGAGTTCCTTCTGTCGCACACAGCCACACTTCTCACCATCTTACTGTTCTCTCTTCCTCTCACTGTCTCTCACACAAAACCCACACATTCTTTCTTACACTTACACTCTGTCTCTTACTGTCTCTTTCTCTCTCTCTCGTTTTCTCTCTGTCTCTCTCTCTCACTCTCTTTCCCTCACTGTCATATGCACACACCCACACAAAGTTCCTACTCCCCTTCCTCCCACTACTTACTGTCTTGATAGAGAGAGAAGCTTCTTTCAGCAGGGTTATTTCACTCTGAGGTTGTGGCTCATCAGAGGAGGAGTACAAGTGGAGGATGGAGCTGTGGAGGAGGAGGAGGCAGGGAGCAGCGATAGGAACGATGAATGGCCCTGATTGCACTCTGAAAAAGGAGAGAGAGGAGGCAGAAGACGACTAAGGGCTGGGGAGGCAAGGAGAACTCCTACTTTGGGATGTGATGCGGCCGCTGCCGTCACTCAGACGATCGTGCTGGCGTAAAAACACTGCCACCCGTCATCCTAGTCAACGTTCACCCACATCTGGAGTCTGCACGATGAGGAAAAGGCAGCATGTTATTCTTGTGACATCCTCTCCCTCTCAGTGTTTTGGCCTTTTCTTGTGTGACTGTCTCTGTTTTATCTCTCTCTTCCTCTCCTGTCTCAGTCAATCTTCCTTCATCCCCATCTCTCTTTGCCCCTGCACCCTCACTGTGCCCTCGCTGACTGCCAGATGAAGAGGAGCTGATGCCAGAGTTTATCGTGGAGCTCAGACTCCTGCCAGCACCACTCGGCTCCTCTGCTCAGCTCTGCGGAGGAGGGGCTTACTGTTTTAAAGGCACAGCATATAACCCAGCACCTCCTCTGCCTTCGCTCTTCTCATCTTGTCTCTTCTCTGCCGCTGTCGACACCTCCTTGCTATCTCCTCTTGCTCTGCCTTTCCAGCCTTTGTCACTGTTGTGTTGAGAGTGTTATCTCTCTTAAATCAACTTGAAGTCTTCCTCTGCTGCCTGCCAAGCTGCCTCTAGGGACCGAGTGTCCAAAGAATCCTTGCTGTTACATCATTAATATACAAAGCAGGTTGGTGTTTGATGACCTCATCTTACTGACTGAAGTAGGTAGGGAGGGAGCGGCAGCAAGACTTTTACTCTGCCTTATCTACATAGGGTCAGGGTTTTTTATTGCATTTTGGCAATAAAAAAATTACATTGTTCAAGCTCAAAGTCAAATTCAAAATAATGAATTTTCAGTTGTACAGTACGATTTTGTTGGAACATATTTGTTGTTAACAGCCAGAGGACCATATGCATTCCTATGCATAACTGTAAGGAGGAATGTTAAATCAGACATAAGTTAGGAGGTCTTTCAAGCTGATATATATTTGTTGTTTGGTTTTCTCTAGTGGCTTCTACCACTCAGATCAGAGGCATTATGCTGATGCTGTAAGGCTGATTGGAGGAATATTCTGGGCTATTATAAATTCTCTTTTGCATTTTTTCTTTGATTAATAAATTATCAGTTTTGCTTCAAAAAAACAGTTCACATTCTGTGTAATTCTCTCATAAGTATGTCACAATACTGTGTCATTTTAGGGCTTCATCAAAATTTTAGCTTCTTGACACATCTTAAAGTATAATGTTGCTCCCGGTGGGGTTGCGGGACTATGTCACTGCTTGCAATAGACAAGGTCTGGCTTTGTTACACAAGATGCTTATCACAACTTGCTCATGTCATGGAAACATTTCTCCTTCCGCATGTTTTTTTTTTTTTTTTTTTTATAAACCTCACTCTGCATTCTTTCTCCTATCAAATACTGGAGACTCGGTCTTTCAAAGTTGCAGCATGGTGAGGTATGTTTTTAGTTATGTTTCTAGTGTTTCTATTTGAAACGTACTGAAAGGTGGTTGGTGCTATACCTTACACAGGAATTCAAATCAAGGGCAGGTGCGAGAGGTTAAATGCCAGGGAAGATTCTCAGTCATCCAGGTCATAGTCATTCCAAAAATATTAAAAAACAATTCACTGGACTTTCTTTCCAAGTTTAACGATGTTTCACTTCCCATCCAAAAAACTTGTATTAGCTTAGAAAACATGCAAATTGAACCAGAAGAACAAGTCCCTTAGGAACGGGAGTCTTTTTGGGTTCTTTGTTAGCCCGCAATACCCGATACTGGTCTATGTCATATTTGACATTTGTTATGGGGGATGTCTAAAAACAGTAGTTTTTAAAAACCATATTTAAAACCACTGTGCTACTCATATACAACTTGCATTTTCAGCATTTCTGATTCTGATTTAGATAGACCTACTCAAAGCAGTGTACAGAATAACATGTAAGGTTGTCCAAAAGTTTTGCAAATAAAAAAGTGGAAAAAGGCACTTAAATTTGTCCCTGTTTTCTCAAAAGTGCTACATGAAAACAAATACCATACTTAATACTTTTAATACTTTTGCGAGGCATTGTAAACATAATTCCTCTAAATTCATTGCTGCTCTGCCTATCTGTGTTGTTGGACATCATTAGCTTCTGGGCAGTAATGCCTTTATAGAAGAGAAGCTGGATTATTTCATCCTTGTAAAATGCATTTTTTATGCTAAGGTCATCATGACTTGTGAGTTTTACTAGAAATATCAAGTGATTCTGGCGAAACATTGGTCCCACTTAATAATTCTGCCAGGAATTTATGGTGCTATGTTATAGAGTTATTTTATAGAGTGTATTTTTTTCCCTTCTTTTACTAGATGGGCACATGCTGATGAATAAACATGGTAACAATCATATGCTTATGCAGATACACACAGTCAAACACAAACTGGATACAAACACGTGGAAATCCAAACATGGTATTCTTATCCTAGCTGTAATTTGATACCATTGTAGTAATGGCCATTGAAGTTTGCTTTTCACTGTTCTGGCTACCAATCCTTAGTTGAGGCATCAAATATCTTTTTAAACTGTGCATTGTAGAAGTAATTAATTATCTTCAATGTTCCACCTTTTGTCAGGTTTCAACCTCAAACTTTTTTTATTATAAGCTTAATAATAGCTTAGTATTTTTATAGAATGTATCTTTTTGGGATGTTGTGTGATAGACAAAAACATAAAAGGGAAATATAATGTTGCTGTTTTAGGTTCGACCTAGGTGGACATCCAGTCCAGTCTAAAGTTTTTTGCTTCCTATATCATGTTCCTTCTGGGGATTCCTATCTCATGACGTTAGTGCTCGAGAGAGGCAGTGTCCTCAACAATGTTTTGCAGGTATTCAGGAAAGTGTTATTTTGGTGTTGTCTGACCATGCCACTTTATTCTTTGTATTTGAGGCCTAACCTAAGCTAATATGTAAAGAAACTTTAAATTTCTTACATCTTTCTTTCCACAATGGCTTACTTTTTGTTGTTCACCTTTAAAAGGCCTAATTTATGAAATATATTATCTCCTCTGTTTCTCCTTCGAACATGAGTCACACATGTTTGAAGCTTCCACTGTTCCTCCCTGAATTCAAATCATTATGTAAATATAATATTTGGCGTAATATTTGTTTCTCTAAAACTATTGCATTATAATATGGGCGTGGTTTCAGGATCCCTGGCGGCCTTTCCCAGTGTCTCAGGGCAGAGAAAACTGATGTTAAACAGATCACCAAAATACTTTAAAGAAAAGCTCCATTATATTTAGATATATGCTTTGTAAAAAAATTTAAATAAGATATAGATAATTATCTACTTTTATGAGGTGAATATGATTTGGGATCAACAACCCTAAAGCCTTTATAAATCAATTAAATTTTAATAAGCAAACCCTAAAATTATTACTTATGATAGTTTGGTGCACGGCTGAGGTAAAGAAGATAAAGAATGATGCGTAAAAACGAATGCCCTTTTTTTTTTGCATTTTTATCTGAAACACTAATAAATAGGTAGAGAACAATGTACCATTTTCTTCCCCGCACATTTTTATGATATTAATACGTACATAAAATGATATCCAAATACATAGGTTTCTTGTTAAAACTACTAAAAAAGTTGAAGGGAAATTAATAGTTTTGCAAGGCTCGACAATAATTTTATATCCTTTCCTCTAAAAAGTTTCACCACAAACATCAGAAACATAAATATAGATTTTTTTAATTTACGAAATATAAACTGTGACCTTTTTAAATACTTCTTTTGCTATTTAAGTTAACCACTAAAGACTTCCCCTCCTCATCAACTGGTTAGAATATAGTAGTATAATGATTATGAAATAAAGACATTTCCAACTTTCTTGTCTGTAAGAAATTCCTACCCATCAGCTGGTTTAGTATAGTTTTGAATCTGGATCTTGACCTGAATCTCTTCATGGATGGCAAAAACTTCCCTCAGGATGTTTGAAGCTTACATAGATGGTTAATTTGTTTAATATGTACTCACACTCATATTGCTTGCAGTTGTGCTGATAACCTACGAACATTACCTGTGTTTAATAATTCTAAAGACATTTTATAGACATGAACCCAAATTAAATTCTCATTGCTATAATCTCTTTTACAAACATCATGATTTCACACAAAAAAGTATGAAATAACTCACATACGTTTTTTTTTTAATTTAAAACAGAAGGCAATAATAAAAAATAGCACCTGAAAGAAAGTTTTATATATATTTACACATTTAGAATTATATGAACTATAATACTTAAAAAATCCATGAAAACACTCCCACTATATCAAGAGAAGGTTTTGATGTGCCGTGTTTGTGAAGATTGTAATGTTATACTTTGTTCCTTAAAGAATAAAGCAAGTTCATCGCAATTAGAGTACCTAAGCAAAATAGTACTATTTTCAATTCCTAGAAACCCTGATACACCCAGGAGAAATCATCAAAGAGGAAAATAATAATTTAAAAAAATGTTCCAGACCTTGCTATGCTGTTTAACACCTTTGCAGAGGACTGACGATCACTTGAGGGGATACTTTGTTTTAGGTCTTATGGAGTATATCATGTGCATGTAGGTGTACTTCCATACACTTTAACAACATAATCAAACAATGACTGTAAAATCTTCCCACCCTTAAAAAAAAGAAAACAGACAGTGTAAATAGTTATTGTGGTTATCGTGACTCCAGTTTTGTACAAAGTAAATTTTAAGTAAGAATAAAAAAAAAAAACAGATTGTGCATCTTCCATGTGAGTTTCCATTATGCATTTCCTTCAATAGCCATTGTGTGGCACTGTTGTGTAGTTCTGCCAGGCAAAATTCTCCTTCCATAAATGTTACTGTAAAATGGTGGGTAAAGCAGAAAAGGGTTAACCATTAATAGTATTACCCTCATACTATATATATGTTGTTATAAATGTTACATTGAAAAACTGTTTTGAAGAGAACTCATTTAAATATAACAAAATCAATGGGAGGGAAGATAGGTGGACTTTTCATTTTTAATTATATTCAGCTTACAAGATAAATTGATTGAGAGTGAAATTTGCAGTATGTTCTCCTCTGGCATAATTTATTTAAAATCATGTATTTTAATAATTTGAAGTAATAAAATGCCCACTCACTAAGAGGCTTGAGGATTTTCAGTTTAATCTCTGCAAATCACAATTTTGTGGCACAAAAGGAACTGTGGAACACATCTGGCAAATAAAATATGCATGATCAAACATAAACACTGAGGCTTGTTTATGATTTGCTGTGAATTCCTTAATTTCATAGAGACAAACATTGTGGGACAAAGAGCTCAGCCCCTGCCTGTTATACAATGACACCAGCCTGTCTGCTGACCTTTTGATATTTCCCTCTTCGCCCTGTGTGACTTGTGTTTGTCTGTGTGTGTTCTTAAAAGAATCATGCAGGATGCTGGAGTTGAGCTTGTATCAGACTATAACACTTTGTGATGGATCAGTGCTCTTGCTCAGTAGAAAGATGCTTAAGTGATTGATGTCTCATTTTCTTTACTCACCACCAATGTAA